TATCTGTTGCTCTGAGTATGGTGTGCGGCAGCATTTGTATTCCTAATTGGAGGTACCCTTTGGTGTGTGGTTAAGACTATATGCTGATCGGGACATAAGACTCTGAAGAATGGATGTTTAACGATGCACGGTTACCATCTTCAGTTCTTTTGAGTTGCGTAGACCTATAAGTTGAAGACTCCAAGTTTCACAGGATTAAATGGTTAGGTGGTATTTTTGTCCAACACACGATATATAAGCACGGAGTTTACGTACTAATATATATATATATGAGATTAATGGGTATCCTTGTCATAGGAGGGGATTTCCTCCTTGACGCCTCTAAAATCACATGATTGAGCGACATTGTGGATGATCCGCTCCGTTGAACTTGATCTACATATTTTAAAATCCCAACACACCAAGTTTGGGGTGAGCCCATCGTCGTTTGACCCTTCATCCACTCGTATCAATTTTAACGGTTTTGAATGAATAGAAATTTTCACATGGTTCGATGGAGGGTCAAACGACGACGGATTCTCCCCAAACTTGGTGTGTTGGGGTTTTAGAATATGTAGATCAAGTTCAACGGAGCGGATCATCCATAATGTCGTTCAATCATGTAATATTAGAGGCGTTAAGGAGGAAATCTCCTCCTGTGACAAGGATACTCATTAATATCTCTATATATATATATATATATATATATATATAACAAAGTGCTGCGAATAAAGTGGACACACACATATATGTATTATATGGCAGCGTGTTGCTCGCTCGTTATAAACAATTGAGCTCGTGGACAACGACCCGACATGCATTAATTTCTTAAAACCCCTTATATGAATTTGGTCATCTACTCCTCCAAAGAGTACCGAGTCACAGTTTATTTTATAGTAAATAATATTGTAAATATTATAGCAAAAACAATAAACTAAATCTGATCCTTTGCACTTAAAATCACCATTTATGCTACAATAATTTACTGTAGCATAAATAGCAATTCAAATTTGATCATCCATACTTAAAGTTATTATTCATATTGTAGTATTTTTACTGTATTGTAAACAGTAAAACAAATCAAATGTATTAAAACTTGGATTATTCTTTAAGTATAGAGGAGTAGATACGAATTTTAATTTTAAGCATATAATAATTAAATTAAATGTATTAAAATTTAGAATAAGGTAAGTTCAGAATACAGTACTTAAAAAAATAGGGAGTAGATATGATTTTTAATTTTAAGCATATAATAATTAAATTAAATGTATTAAAATTTAGAATGAAATAAGTTCAAAATACAATCCTTAAAAAAATAGGCGTCCGTACATTGCACGGGGTGCACACTAGTTTGTATATATACTAAGTTATTGGGTCTACAACTTTTCAAACTAAAGTAATATTTATAATTAATAAAACTTTTTACCAATTGTTCTTCGTGCACAGTTAGCTGAATTGGTTAATCCCTTCAGGCTCACGACAATAATCGCGGGTTCCAATCTCCTGAACCGCATACAATTTTATCTATTAAACAAGGACTTTTCGCATTTAAACCCGATTTATAACATGAGTTTTAATAAAATAATGTACAATTAAGAGATTTTTCTGCCTCTAAACCTAAAGTTTCACCTGATCCGTTTATTTTAAAAATCACCTTTTTCTGATATAACCCTAAGTCTCATCCACATTTACTTTTAAACTTGCTTAATTTCAAAATCACGTGGACCCAAAATACATCATGTAATCTTTTACTCCATTTTTCAAACATGCCAACTTTCAAAAGAATTTTTAATCTAAAAACACGAAGTACTAAAAACACAAAGTACCCATTTCTCTTTTGAACCCACTCACTTGCAAAGTCATGACTAGACACAAAAAAGTAACTAAATTATTTTAAAATCAAATTTGTATTCTAGCAGTTTATTATTTTATTATAACGTGCTACCTATGTGCTTATAATACAGTTTTTAAACTAAATATTTAATGACAATTTTTTCTATATATACTAAAGTTATTGGGCTTACTACTGTTAAATGTCTTTTTATGCTACAATAAATTTTTATCTTACTAATATTTGTTTGCCTAATTTGCTAAGAGCCACTACGAGCTTACTTGCTCAAGCTTGTGCGTTTCACAAGCGGGTCGTAGGTGCGAATCACTTTCACGCTGAATTTTTACATAATGCATGATAATTTTTATGGGTACTTGTAAAAATGCCCCATAAATCTTTAATATTTGCCAAAAATACATCTCAAAACATCAGTTTTAGTAAAAAAAAAATATCCCTAAAATCAATTAATCATCAACCTCGTGATAAATATTTGATTATTTATTGGTAATTTTTACAATGCAATTACAAATTAGCTTCTCAAATTGATAAGCAATTGCTATTAGGGTAATTTTTTCCGCATTGATGATCTCAAGGATAGTTTTGCAAATACTAAGTTTTTGAGGGTATTTTTATAAATATTCATGATTTAAGGAGTATGTAAGTAAATAATCCTAACATCTATTCATTTATATACTCTATGATGAAGACGCCAAGAATTGAACACAATATGGTGAAAGTCATATTGAGGCATAATGAAATTTTTTTGTGATATGTGGACCATATATTCTTAGACATTTAATACAGGATATGATAATTTGCATGTAAACCCAATTTTTTAAACCCAGTTAATTTGCATTCTAGAAATTTATAATATATTATGCATTACGCTTTTTTTATTACAACTTTTAACCAAGTGCCTACATATACAATGCATTTTTTAACTGAATATTAAAATATTATTTTTCACTTTCTTTGAGATTGATGTTGCAACATCACAAATTGTAGATAATTTTTTGCCAATAACTTTAAAATTTTACACTTACTTATTTTTACACTCACAATTTCAGAAAGGGATTTCTACCAATAAACCAAAAATTTTACCTCCACACCTCCACTTATTTTTTAAAATTCACAGTCTTCCAAAAATCACTCTTAGGCCAAAATACCCTTTTGAAATAATCTTAAAATAAATCTGTATTTTAATACTTGGTACACCATGTCAGTTACTATATTATATTACAACTTTCTATATTTTTCTCTAAGTTGGATATATATATATTATAATATAGATATATATATATATATATATTATATATATATGCTTGGTACCAAGCACAAATTTTGCTGCTCTCGGTAGCTGATGTGTCACATCCCCCAGTCCACTCTTACCTCATGCTGAATGTGCGTCCCAATGTTGCACATGAGTGGAGGGCGGATGTGAGCATCTCAACTACCAAACATACACTTTTTGTGCTTGGTATCAAGCACATACCCATATTTTCCCATATATATATGATATATATATATATATATATATATAGTATATATATTATATATATATACTTATATATATATATATATAGTAGCAAGACGACGAGCCGACGAGAGAGAGAGAGAAGTACTGTAGGGACGCGCTGGCCAGTTCTCCTACTGGTGCCGCTGCCGTGGGTTTTTTTTTGAAAAAAAACATCGCCGGATTTCTCAAGCGAAAAAATCAAAATCCCGCATGGCCGATGTTCCTCATTCTCCCCAAAAAGAATCAAAACCACTGGCCAGTTCTCATTCTCCCCAAAAAATCAAAACCACTTCCCCCCAATTCTCAGATCCCTCTTCCTCCCAACGTCGCATCACTCTCATTAGCCGCGACCGAAGCGCTCGATCGCCAGCAGCACCGCACGCAAGCGCTCGATCGCCTGCAGCACCGCCACGAAGCGCTCCCGATCGCCAGCTCGCTCGAGATCGGACGTCCCCTTCTCAGAGGTATTATTCCTCCCGCCTCCCCCATTATCCTAGCCTCTCTTCTTCCTCAAATACCACAAAATTTTGGGGTCAAATCCTAAGATGGTGGAATGGCTATAGGATTTTAGATGACCTAGATAACTATTTTAAACACTGATTTAGAGGTTTTTGTTTTTCGATAATGACCCTAAGATAACTAGTGTCTCCTGTAAACTATTTTTAAACATGATCTTGGCCTGAGGTGGGCCTGTGGATTTTCGGTGACTAAATAAGTAAATATTATTATCTTTATAAAGTGACTTGTGTTTTCTTCATCATGTTAATTTATACAGCAAAAACCAGATCATTTTGAATGCAAAGATTAATGTGAGGAATATTAAATTTTTTTGTCATGGACTTAAACCAATGGCTAATCTAGAAAAAAATTTTGTTAGGAGCGCAACAATTACATATATGAATAATGAGGCTACTAATTCAAATGCGCGCATGAAAATGCGGCAACTAGCCTTGCTAAATGTCAAAATGCCCCAAATTGGTTGAAATTTTCAAAGTGGGGATTGCAAAATTTGAAAACCCTATGCGGGGGGGGGGGGGCGCGAATCTTAATTGGTCACGGAAGCATTAAAATGTAATTTGTAGATTGTTAAGGGTGCAACTGTACCCTTACTACATACTATGCATCTGCCCATGGTTTAAACAGTACTGCATACACTCAACAATGAGTTTCAGGTTTCAGCTATCCTCAAACCTGGACCCTCAGTATTTGGTCAACTTGGATTAGTCTTTTGTTAGAGAGTTTCAAGCTTAGGTCTACCCTTAATCATCCATAGGTTTTAGTAATGACACTGTCAACCATGCATAAACTGTACTATATGTTTGTTATTATTTTATATTGTTTCTTGATGAATCCATGCTGTGTTATTACGCTTATGGCTTTTTTTCAATTTTTCCTTCTTTGCATTTGTTTTACAACAAAAAAAGTGTTCGAAATGGGAGAATCAAGTGCTAGTGGAATTGAAATTTCTGCCAGTACAGAAAATGAATGGGAGAATCAAGTGCTAGTGGAATTGAAATTTCTGCCAGTACAGAAAATGCTCCTAAGCCACTACTCGGAATGAAATTTAATACAGTACAGAAAATGCTCCTAAGCCACTACTCGGAATGAAATTTAATACTTATGAAGAAGCTTATAACTATATAACCATTACGCATTTTTGATGGGTTTTGGAATAAGGAAGAGCACGGTAAATTACTCGAAGAAGACAAGAGACGTGCTGGACAGAAAGTTTGTTTGTGATAAGGAGGGTTATAGATCTAATAGAGACAAGATGGAGATGCCTTTTCGGCGAGAGACCCGAGTGGGATGTAAGGCAATGATGAGAGTTAAAGTATTGGAGGACAAATGGTGGGAGGTCACGGGGTTTGTTGAAGAACATACAAACCATGTGTTGAGTAGTCCAGACAAAGCAAAGATGCACAGATCACACCAACAATTCCATAAATCTCAAAGTTGTAAAAGACTTATTGAGAGTCTGCAAGAAGAAGGTATGCCTCCATCCACTATTTCTCGCGTCATTAACGCAACCACTGGAAGAGAAGGCGAATTAGTGACACCACAACAGTGTATTGATCACATTAGATACCAGAGAGTCAACAATATTGGCCATGAATTCATATCTATCATAAAACATTTTCAGAGTTTGACAGCGAATGATCCAGAATTCTATTTTGCAATAGAAGTGGACAGTAGTGGACAAATGAGGAGTGTTTTCTGGGCTGACGGAAGATCAAGAGCGTCTTATTTGCAATTTAGTGATGTTGTTGTGTTTGATGTGACATACAGAACTAATAAGTTCAGTCTTCCATTTTCTCCATTTACTGGTGTGAATCATCATAGATAGTCCACTTTACTTGGTTGTGTATTATTAGCTGATGAACAAGAAGATACCTTTGTGTGGTTATTTCAAGAATGGCTGAAATGCATGCATGGGGTTGAACCAGGTGCTATTATAACAGATCAGGATAGAGACATGTGTAATGCTATTCACTCTGTGTTTCCAATGACAAGACATCGTTATTTCTTTTGGCACATGCAAAAGCACATTATTGATCATTTGCCTACTTTGGTTTCTCGTTATGGTGAACAGTTTCAAAGGTATTGGGGCTTATGGTGTAATAGTTCTTCAATTGAACAGTGTGAAGGATATTGGCTAGAGATGAAGGAGAAGTTTGATATAAATGAAGAAGGGGATGGATGGTTGCAAACTGTTTACAAATATTGAGATCATTGGGTGTCATGTTATTTGAAGGACACTTTTTTTGCTGGAATGAGATCGAGCCAAAGAAGTGAAAGTATTAATGCTTTTTTTTGATGGGTATGTTAACTCACAGACTCAATTACACGAGTTTGTATTACAATATGAAAAAGCATTAACTCATCGTCGCTTAAGTGAAGCTCATGAAGATTTTAAGAGTTTTAACACAAAGCCTGTCATGCTCCTTGGACATCCGATTGAGGTCCAAGCTGGAGAAATGTATACACGCAACATGTTTGATGTGTTCCAAACCGAATTCAAAGGATTTGCTACAGAGTTTTGTGAAGAATTAAGCAAAGATGGGGATATTATTGAATACAAGATTTGTAAGTTTGCAGATAGAGAAAAATGGGAGGTGGTTACTTATGAAGAATCCAGTAAGATGCAATTCATTTGTTCTTGTGCTTTGTTTGAAACTAATGGTGTTGTATGTAGACATATATTATCGCTAATGATGGCTAGCCAAATTTCTTCATTACCCGACCATTACATCCTACACCGTTGGACTATACATGCTCGACATCGTAACATTGGGGTTGGCAATATTGTATTTGGAAGAAACCTCACAAGCTGTAAAGAGAAGATTAATTTGTTGAAATCTTGGGCTTTAAGAGCAAAATTCAATAATGCGCTCGAGCTTGCATTTGATTCAGAAGAAATGATGCAGAAATTAGATAATGTGTTAACAAAATTCATAGAATTAGGGGTGAGCACGGTTCGGTTCGGGTCGGTTTTTACCAAAATTTGAACAACCGAACCGAACCACCTATAATTCAAAACCGAATCGAACCGTTGCAAATCGGTTCGGTACGGTTCGGTTCGGTTTGTTCGGTTCTAACTTTCATCAAGTATAACAATCAAATGCACAAATATTGCTTGTCCCAAGAGATAATTTGTATATATTTGTTTTCATATGCGCCCAAATGCAAATCATTTGAGCCACGGCTAAGATACTTAAGCGCCGTGCACACTTGAATCAACAACTAACCTAAGGGACAACATACACAGAAGTGCTGAATTGAGTGATTAAATGGGGAAAATCCAACTCAAAGGGCACTAACATACTCCAACAAGAAGCGCCCATTCCACCTACTTCATGTTCAATTCAAAGACAACAACAGAGGAAATTGAAGAAAAATTAATACTATGTACCTTGATAGAATCACTTGAAGAAGAAGTTAGAGAAACAGAAGATAATCCTCAGATTTCAGCACTCATTTCACATACAATGGAGCACATTCCTCAGATTACAGTTCGTGATCCTGAAAAATCTGCAAGGACTAAAGGTCGGCCACGCAATGCTACTAGAATTTAGTCAGGCTTAGAACTTGCACAAGAAAAAAGAGAGAGGAAGAAACATATATGTAGCAGATGTGGTGAACTCGGGCATTATAGAACTAGCTGTAAAGTCAATTTGCCAAGGTAAAATTTCTTTATTTTCATACTTAGTTTTTTTGTGAATTTCTTATTTGTTTAGTTTTTTCCAAATATAGAATTGGCCTATATCATTTTCTGCAGTTGTCCTATTTTGAACTTGCCCTTTGACAGTCATAATAGCATATTGAGTTAGTTATCCTACTGTCTTGACGTGCCCTTTGACAGTCATAATAGCATATTGAGTTAGTTATCCTACTGTCTTGACGTTCTATTTTCTTTTTTATAGGTAAGAGCAATCATCGATATTTGCAAGCTGGGTATGAAGTGCATTTTGTTTGTTGAGCACTTTGATTATGCTTCCAAATGTTGATTTCGGTTTTGAATATAGATGGGGGGAATGCTGGACCTAAGTATTAAAGCAATTCCAATGTGTTGGTTGTATTTGATAAGCTCAGAATGTATCATTATATAGACAAATACTGAATGGTGTTGTGTAATGAATTTAGAACTTGCTCAGTTATTACATGTTTATTTTCTGGATGCCTTTGTCTATCATTGCTTAAAACTTAAAAAATAGTGTACCTTAATGATGGACGAGGTTTTGGAGGAAAAGTAATAGTTGCGTGTGGTCTTTGTTATCCAACATTGACTGGAATCTGAAATTTCTCACTCTTTCACCTGTATTCATCACATACATTTTTTTTATCAAGGATTCTGCAATTTGAAATCGTACACAGCGATGCAGTGCTTTTCAGTTAAAATGTCCAGCATTTATTTTGTTCATGATGCCTTTTCTTTTCTTTCTAATCCTCTTGGCTCTGGTGTTTAAAGAAGGATGTTTCTTATATTTATAGTACCTGAAGTAGTCTACTGGTTCATTGGCATTTGATCCTTGAATCAAGAGCTTACATACGATAACCGTAGCAATCTCTTTATGAATACTGAAATGGTTTATTTTGAGTAGACCCTCTGTAGCCTCGATGTTCTGGACTTATGATCCCTCTAGTTCAATTTTTGCAGTAGACCTCCGGAATGAATTTTTGTGACTTGTTTATAGTGGATGAAAAGTTGACATACTATGTCTGGTTGCTTACCAAGACTTTCCGAGTGCAAAAGAGTCGAAAGAATTCAGGCAGCAATAGAACAATGGTGTTGTGCAATGATAGACAAAAGCTTTGAACTTCATGGGTATAGAACTATGTAATAGAACAATGAGCATGAGAGTTTTGATATTTTCACAATATGCTCAGTCCCCTTTGTGATATCAAACCAGATGCAATAGACTGTATTAGCAAAGCCAAGTTTCTCACCTCATTGTCGATCCCTACTTCAATTAGTTATATGTAAAGAGATAGATATATTATATGAATAATGAGTACAAGCACAGGAAGCCTACAGCTAGTTACTTGATTGTTTACAACTTATCCTCACATTGAAGAATCATACACGAATAACATCACATGTTTCCCCTAATAGATAAACCAACAAATACTGCAACGATACATACTAGAAATATTAAAATTGTAAACACTGAACCTAATACAAAAGCAAAGATGTACTTAATAGCAGTTTCCCTAGGTGTTCCCTTGTCCTCAAGAAAATTATGCCCCTCTGGAATTATTTGTTCTTGAACACAAACATGTGGCTGCACATGGCTTGAGTTGGATGATGAATCACGCGCGCTTAAGTGCTTCTCCCATTCACTCAAAGCCTCTTCATACGTTGCATACCCTTTGTAAGAGGCATTTGGGAATCTATCAACTTGAGAAAAGCATTCCTCCCAATTATAAAAAATACCACAACGTTGACCTCTCTTTACAACATAAAAACTCTTTCTTGTCATTATATCACCTGCAAATTTGTGCCTTGAAAATAGATTATCAATGGAAAAAAGACGAGCAAATGTTCAAGATGCAGTTCTATGTATAGTGTAGCATTATCTGAAATTTATATACCAAGGCCAGATAAGAAAACAAAGGAATGTTGATAAGAAAACAAATGAATGTATTCACTGCAATTGACACATAAATTGACACTCTATCATACTCTTAAAATCTTAAGAATGAAGCATATGTATGACGGGTGTTTGCGCGAGCGAAATGTTGATAAGTTTTTTACAATGTTAAGAAATAGATTGCAGGAGATTTTGAAAGAAGATAGGAGTCATAGGATGTATTTAATCATTTTCCCTTCTATGTACTCACCTCTCATTCGAATCATTAATCCATAATAACATATTCCTTTTGTTTGTCTAATCCCAAACATCTATATATAATGCAATGACTCCTCAGAGCTTAACATAAAGCATTACAGTAGGAATCCTTGCACAAACAATGTACAAGTTTTTATTTTTTTGGCATTTTGATAATTTAGATAGGAGGAGATCACAAACTAATAAATATGCTCTGCATCATGTAAGTGTCTAGTAAATCAGTCACCATAATGCACGCATTTGTCGAGCTATCTAGACCAACAATGATCTGATCAACTTATTAGCAAAGGTAAAAACCAATTACGGAGTTTCGCTGTAAAACAAGCACTCATCACTTAACAAAGAAGTACACGATGCATTAAATAAATTCAGCCAAAAAAATTCAAATATCTCGTAGAGCTCCAGAGAATGAGCTACACCTGCAAAATGATTCAAAAGGCTGCAATAGGCACTCGTAAAAAACCAATCTCAAAGACCATCCGAAGTCTCAATGATCACTGAACGAACAGAAGCCCTAAAATCAATTTCACCCAAAACGAACTCTTCCACATTCAAATCAATTTCACCCAAAATCCACAGCCACTCAGGCCAAGATCATGTTTAAAATAGTTTACAGACACTAGTTATCTAGGTCATTATCAAAAAAACATAAAACCTCTAAATCATGTTTAAAATAGTTATCTAGGTCATCTAAAATCCTAGCCATTCACCATCTTAGGATTTGACCCAAAATTTGTGGATTTAGGAAGAAGAGAGCTAGGATAATGGGGGAGGCAGGAGGATAATACCTCTGAGAGGGGACGTCGATCTTGAGCGAGCTGGCGATCGAGCGCTTCGTGGCGGTGCTGCTGGCGATCGAGCGCTTCGTGGTCGCGGCTATGAGAGTGATCGACGTTAGGAGGAAGAGGGATCTGAGAATTGGGGGAAGTGGGTTTTGATTTTTTGGGGAGAAGGAGAACTGGCCAGTGGGTTTTGATTTTTTGGGGAGAAGGAGAACTGGCCAGTGGGTTTTGATTTTTTGGGGAGAAGGAGAACTGGCCAGTGGGTTTTGATTTTTTGGGGAGAAGGAGAACTGGCCAGTGGGTTTTGATTTTTTGGGGAGAAGGAGAACTGGCCAGCAGTGTTTTGATTTTTTCCCTTGAGATCCGCGATGTTTTGGCGAGGTAGAGGAGATTAATGAAGGGGCTGCTTTCTTCTCTGACTTTATGTCTGGTTCTTGAATGGGTGGCTGAAGTCCATGCCGCACAGATAAGAAGAACCCGTGAGAGGGCGGGGACCTGTTCCCCGTGGTTCATCCGACGGTCAAATTAGTGAAGCTCGAGTGGGGAAGGGGAAGATCAGGAACTGAGGTAGTTCTTGAGGTGGCAATATGCCGCTACAGAGGGTCTGTGTGAGCTCCTCTGTGTAGATGAATAACTTTATGTTCTTCTTCTTTCTTAGAGAGAGAGAGAGAGACAGAGAGAGAGAGAGAGAGAGAGGGAGAGGAAGTCATTCCGTCCCCCCTCATAGGTTAGGAGTCTACTTGTATATATCTTCGCCCTGGGGATAAATTCCCCCTAAGCCTCGGGAGGCGGTGGTAAGGTGTGGGCTAAGAGTCGAGTCATCCCTCGCTTTACAGGTGTCGGCCGGTAACTGGAGGGGAAGTCACTTCGCCATCGGAGAGAGTGTCTCCGCATTTTCCAGTAAATGATTGAGAGTGTTGCAGAAGGCACGTGGGCAACTGATAAGTCATGGAGACCATCAGGTTAGGATCAGGATAAGTCTTATCCGAGGTGGATTTGGATGCTGACATGTACTCAGGTAAAGAGGCTTGAGGCGGTAGTTATTCCTCAACTTAGTCGACAACAGAGAATGCCCATCAAGTCGTCTTCGTAAATTGCCAGGTAAATAGTTGAGTTGACCCTTGGTGAGTCGTCTTCAACGATAGGGTCATCTGATCATGCTTTTCATGTCGACATGAAAGAATGTCGACTTTATGAGTCGGCGAGGTCGAGGCCTCTGTTGGGCTTGGGCCACTAAGTTAGTTGATGCCGATTTTCCAGAACTATGATTGTATCATTTTGCAAATACCCGTATCTTGGATGAGTAAACACCATAACAATTGGCCTTTTTCACTTGGAGTCGATTTTTAGTCGGGTCCGAGTGAAATAAGATATGCTCTTGTCAATACAAGCCTTCTTGGGACGAGAAACTAAGAAGTCTTCGTCTTATTGATCTGACTTACATCATTAGGCATCCTTCTTTACCCATCATAGCTCCACTTTTCTTGGCTGACGTCATTAAAGATCTGAACTGTCGTTTAAAGAAATGAAATGTCATGGATATAATGAAGGGTGTTTTTCTTTTTGAGTATTGGGATGTGGAGCATTAAATAAGTGCGACGCTTCGTGGTTCGAGTAAATCATTTTAGATTCCGAAGTAGATCTGACCTGGTTGTTTTGAAAATCACCACGTCCTTGGAAATCCTTCCATGCACTTCTTTAAAAGCTTATAAATGGCCTTTTGATATTGACAAGATTCTTTTATGAGTTTTTGCTCTGACGAATTTTTGATAAGCTTTTTACGCAAAATCTTCCATGGCCTCTCAAGTTTTAACTTCTGGCCGTAGTGAGGAGAGGCTTGCTATTCTTCTACTCATCCACTCAGGGGTCCATATGGACAATCTGATAGGGTTGTATGATTGATACAATATCCCCCGGACTTTCACATTAGCGGCACCGGAGATGAGCGAGCCAGTGTATCGCCATGGCAAAAGTCGAGTGTCGCTGTACCTGGCCCACTTGGAGCATGGCTTACGGCTGCCCTTACATCCTTTTATTAGGAAGGTGTATGCCGCTCTAGGAGTCTCCCCTTCCCAATTCTATCTGAATCCAGTGGGATTCTAGTGGCTTTCATCATTATTTGCCACCATGTTGAAGTCCAACCAAGCTTCAGATTGCTTGGATATTTGATCAGCGTGGGGTCGGCTGAGAAGGACCCGCATTACTTCTACCACTATCGTGGTGATTTCCAGCTTGTCTTGGATGCTTTAGAGTTAAACGAGGATTGGAGGAGGCGATACGTGTGGGTTTATGGTGGCGACAACATCTTCACCTGCTCGGACTGGCCAGAGGCGAATGATGTCGCTTTGAGGCCAATCACCCTTAGCGATTCAGAGATGATGGACCTAGAAAAGGTTCGCTCTTATGTTGGGCCATGAGAGAACGATGCTCTATTTGATGATGTGTCTCTCCAAGCAGTGGGCATATCCATGATCTTATCTTCCACTAGCTTCCAAGCAAGGGCAAGCCCCATTCCTTTGTTGGCAGAAAACCGCAAGAGGAACGTAGGGACTGAGGGGTTGAGTCCTTATAAGAATCTGAGGGAGGTGGCTGTCTTGATACCTCAAGTAGTTGAAATTACCTCTGAATTAAAGGGGAGGACAAGGGTCGAGAGGCGGCGCCCAATTGGACCGGTTGTGGGGCCTTAGTGTGACGCCCCAGGGTTCACACAAGGCTGCAGTCCAAGGTGAAACCCGGATTGTCAAACCTGTCAAGCACCAAACACCATGTTACGACATGTTTTACCATCACAGTTACTATCTCTCTAGTGGAAATAACAAATAGGTAAAGGTACAAACAGGCAAATAATAAAAATAGTACAAAATCAAATATGCACAGAAGAAGTATATCAACAAATGAGCCCAACTGAAATAGAAATGAAGATATCTCTGAGTCAGAAATACATCTCAACACAATGAGTCAAATGAAATCCCACTAAGGACCTCAGCCTCTACAAAAATGAATACAACTCTAAAATCTGAACAATGAACATAACTATATAGTGGAGCTTTAACTACTAAACATGTGCGACGATGACTATGCTAGAACTCTGTCATCCTACGGTTCTCCGAAACTCTGATCTGCCTGAAAGATACAATTTAAACAAAAAGAATAACAACAAGAGCGTCAGAGCGCTACAGCAATGTAGGTGTAAATTTTGATCTCCCGAAAACAGGGAATTTTGTTTGTATTGATAAGAAGGCTTATTACAAACTAATAAATCAAATGTTTACAACAGAAGCGGAGGGAAGGCCCTCCTTGTTTAACGTGGGTTCTTCGGTGGCGATAGGACGCCTCGCTCGGTGCTCGTGCCGAGTCTGCTTCCCTTGGACGATCCGATCGAAGTTGATGCCGGAGCCGGAGCTTCGGTTCTCAAATGAGGGAGCCTTTGGCAAAGGTCCAGGTTCAACCTTTGGGAGATTAGCCAGCAGAATATGCAACGGCCAATCCCCCTTCTTCATGCTGCTGAAGATGGGTTTTAACAGGCAAGGGATGGCATGGGCTCTCCCTTGATTCATGGGATTTGACCACTAATAGAGGTGAGGGAGATAGCTTGACTGCTCCTTGAATTATGGGATGTGACCACACGTTGTTCGGAGACGTCCTGCTGTTCATTCGTACCGTCAATGGTCATTCGAAGAGCTGTGCTCTGCATCACGCTACATAGGAGTGGGAAAGCCCCTCCTCGTATGCGTGACAACGGCTGTCAGATGCTTGCGTGGATCTGACCAACCACCGAGCGTTGGCGGCTCTCGTCCCTTCACCTGGACAACTGAGGTGAGCCGCATTTATGAGGGTGCAGGCTGTTTCGGCGCCTGTCCGCTCATTCGTACTGTGGACGGCCATCTGACGGGCCTGGAGTATTGTGCCCTCTCCCTTGATTTGTGGGATTTGACCACTGATGTAACTGTTCCCATACTCCAAGTGGGCAGTTGACAGTGAGCTGGCGAGTCTGCAGCTTGGGTCTGCAGGCGAGCTTAGGACTGCAGGCAGACTTGGGTCTGCAGGCGAGCTTGCAGGCGAACTGGGTCTGCAGGTGAGTTTGGGACTGCAGGCAGACTTGGGTCTTGATCGTGCAGGCGAAATTCGAGCTGCAGGCGAGCTCCTGAGCATGGATCGAAGAACAGGCCGTAACTTTCAAACCGTAAGTCGGAATTGAACGAATTATATATGAAAATCGCCTATCTCAACGAGATGGGGCCATCCGAACCGAGCCATAGGCTTCGGTTCGCTTCCTCCGTTTTGCCAAATTCCTTACGGTTTGGGAGATATCTGCGTTTTCCCCTTTTTCTGCTATTTCGGGCGAGGTTTTAGCAGTTTTGTTCTGAACTTCTCTGATAAGGATTAAAGGCAATTTTTATTACCTACAAAACCCCCTCCAAAGTTTTCAGACCTGAATCAGGCCGCATGGGGTCTGGAACACTTTGGATATGAAGACCCGTAAAGTGATCCCCGCTCAGATGGAGTGAGGAGCCCTCCAACAAGCTCGGTGAGCTGACCTCTTCGCTCGCAGCTGATGATCGCCTTCTAGGATTTTGAGCAAACCCTCAGCTATCAACGGACTTGATTCGTCTTTACCAACTGCCGTTTGAGTTGGACTAGCCATGCTCTTGCCCTTAGCATGGTAAGTTGTCGAGGAGTTTCTCTTAGGCTCAATGCTAAAATTTCTCCTCTATCCTTAGCCTTTCGAGGCGTTTGGATTAAGAGAGTAGGGAGCAGTTTAACCTCGTATACCAGTCGGAGGGTAGGAGTAGTTTAGACTCATGCACCAGTTGGAGTGAAGGAGTAGTTTAGCCTCGTGCACCGGTCGGAGGAAAGGAGCAGTTTATACTCTTGCACCAGTGGGAGTATAAGGGGGCAGTTTAGACTCATGCACCAGTTAGAGTGAAGGGGGCAGTTTAGACTCATGCACCAGTTGGAGTAAAGGAGCAGTTTAGCCTCGTATACCCGTTGGAGTCTAGGGAACAATTTATACTCGTATACCTGTTGGAGTCTAGGGAACAGTTTATACTCGTATACCTGTTGGAGTCATGAGGAGAAGCTTGTCTTCTCTTGGGGCTAAAATGGACCCTGATTTGTCTTTTCTTGGGGCAAAGACGAACCCTGATTTGTCTTTTCTTGGGGAACCCTGATTTGTCTTCTCTTGGGGCAAAGACGAACCCTGATATAGCGGCACATCGCATAGTAGGCCACTATCAAACAGCGACGCCTTTTATGGGAAAGACGGTGCTGGGAGAATCAAATCGTTCAGGGACGTATGAGTATGACGACTGATCGGACAACGTCATTTGCGGGAATGACGGTGTCGGCTATCAGAGGTAATCGTTAACATGATAGGAATTGCCTCGATCGGAGCGACTTTGAGGACCTACCATCCTTTTGAAGAGGATTGGTAAGTTGATTTTGTCAGAGGTGTAGTGTTAACATGACAGTGGGAGTTTATTGTGATTTGAGCAACTCTATGGACCTACCATCCTATTGAAGAGGACTGGTAAGTTGATTTGTCAGAGGTGACCGTTAACATGACAGTGGGGGTCCCGCCATCCTATTGAAGAGAATTGACGGGGGATTGTGGTTTTGGTCCTAACTATCTGAAGGTTTGACCAAGTGGGAGTTTGATGCAGCCCACCTGAACTGCTAGTATCGCATGTTTTGAGCGGTTCGCCATAACCGGGAACCTGGCTCAAGAAGTGGAGCTCGCCTAAGCTGTTAGGCTCGCCTATTTGAGCGGTTCGCCGAAACTGGGAACCTTGCTCAAAGAGATGGGCTCGCCTAAACTGCTAGGCTCGCCCGATTTGAGTAGTTCGCCAAAAATAGGAACTTGGCTCAAGAAGTGGAGCTCGTCTAAACTGTTAGGCTCGCCTGTTTTGAGCGGTTCGCTGAAACTAGGAACCTGGCTCAAAGAGATGGGCTCGCCTAAACTGTTAGGCTCGCCTGATTTGAGCGGTTCGCTATAACCGGGAACCTGGCTCAAGAAGCGGAAGTATAGGGAATAGTTTAACCTCTTATACCAGTTGGAGGATCAGAAGAAGCAGTTTATACTCGTGTACTTGTCGGAGTGTAAGGGGACTATCAGAGGTAATCGTTAGAGCGACTATGTGGGCCCGCCGTCCTGTTGAAGAGGATCAACGGGGGAAATTTGGAGGATATGAGGGATCGGTCTCCACTACCAAGGCATCTTGGTCATCATCCCCTCGAAATTCATGCGGGTCTTCGTCACCCATATGCTTGAGCATGCTCTCGACTTGTTCTCCTTGGCGGAGTAAGTCTTTCCATGAGCGAGCTTCAACAGCGCCCATATTGGACAGAACGCTGATGGAGAGATTGTTCCGGCACATCTCGATGAGCGTGGCCTCGGAAACTCGATCGCGGGAATGCAACGATCGGTTTCTGAATCTCTTGACAAAGCTGCTTACAGACTCTGTCTTCCTCTGCTTCACAGTTAGCAGGGTGGCCATAGATACTTCTGTGTCATCGTCGAAGAATCTGGCCACGAAGAGCCTTTCCATGTCCTTCCAGCAGGTGATGGACCCGGGCTCCAATCTGCGAAACCATTCAAAAGCGACCCCCTTGAGGGTACCAATGAACAGTCGAGTCATAATGGGATCGTTTCCCACTATGTGTCCAGTTTGCGCCTGAAAGTAGTAGATGTGCTGGGTAGGAGAACCCTTGCCATTGAACTACAGGAGGTCCAACGGCTCGAACTTTGCTGGGTAGGAGACCGCATCCCATTCAATTGGATACGGTCTGACAACCCCCAGCTTGCTCACATGCTTCTGGAGCTTCAAGGCGTCGAGTTGACTTTGGAGATCGTCAAACCTCTTGTCTCTTGGGTTATGGCCCGAAGATGACGCTCCTCTAGATGACTCGGATGAGGAGTGAGAAGGAGTAGGCACCCGCTCTTTGTGCTTCAAGGATTTATGCGAAGCCCGCGAAGTCCTCTCTCTCTTCCTCTTCTTCTCGCTCAGGAGCTGCTCCAACATCTCCTTCAGGGAGTCGATGGTTGCTTGTTGCTCGTCGAGTCTCCTGGATATCTCATCAGGGATATCGGTCATGTGCACATTTACGTGCTCGCCCTGAACTGAGCTTGAAGTCTACGACATTACCACTGCTGAGCAATCATCATCGTCGTTGTCAGAGACGGACGTCAGACCCGTGCAGGCAAATGGGGTGGCCACCCCCATTTGGGCGTGAGCGTGTTGGCGAAGTTTAGGCTGGCGAGGTTCGCCTGTCAGGCGAGATTGGCACAGTGTGCCTGCGCCTGTCTGGCGAGCTGTTGCTTCGCCTTTCTGGCGATCTTGGGCCGTCAGGCGAGCTTGGTGAAGTTCGCTTGTTTGACGAAGCCCTCTTAAACTGCAGAGTTCGCCAGGTGCCCTTG